TTCCTACAGCACTGTGTCCTCAGTAGAACAATCAGTGACATCCAAGACATTTGTCACCTAGTAGAAGGCAACCCCAACCCTTCTCTATTGCTCAACCCATCACTACCATTTCCAAACTGGAAAGAATGTCTGTGAAAATAATAGTTTGTTAGTACATTCACCACAACAAGAACTAAACGATTGGAATATTTCGAGGCTCCATATCCTGTGTTATCTGATGGTATATATCCATGGACGAATTAGCAGTAATGTCATGGGAATCCTGATTCTACATGGATTAGTCATTATGCCTCCATGGCCTTGCTCTCTCCTAGCCTCCGTCCCATATCTATCTATCTATCTGTCTATCTATCTATCGAATCTATCTATCTAATCTATCTATGTATCTATTTATCTGTCTGTCTGTCTATCTATCTAATATATCTATTTATCTATTTATCTATCCATTATCTATCTATCTATCTATATATCCAATCTATCTATCTATCCAATCTATCTATCTATCTATCTATCTAATCTATCTATTTATCTAATCTAATCTATCTATCTAATCTACCTATTTATCTAATCTATATCATTTATTTTTGAAGTTTTTCAAGGTAATTGCTAGTTTTGTTACTTTCATGTTTTTTTGTTTTATTTTGGCATTTACCTCCTATACTTAGACTGTGAGTTCTTAAACTTTGCTCAGCTGAAAGGCAGAAAAGAGTGTTAAAATGGCTGCCTAGGGTTTGTAGCAGGTCATTCTATTCCTAGTTTAGTATGAGCACATATCATATTATTATTACTGATGTCCCATTGCTTCACACCTCACAACGTCCACAGGGTCTGGGTCTAAGAGGCAAGTTGGAAAAGGCAGTGGTATATCAATCAATTAAAACAATAAGAATTATATGTTTGTGAAACTGTATCTACGTTTTCCTTACCTTCTGCTCTCTCCCACTCATGAATGGATCCTGGTGATCTAATACAGCACAGGCATGGTACACTCACGGAGTAACTTCGCCACTCGTCCAAGACTATAGGACATCCAAGAAGCCACCTTAATAATGACCAAATCCATACCTGAAACAATTCAATCTATCTATACAGTATTTATCTATCTATCTATCTATCTATCTGTCTATATTTCTATCAAGTATATATCTATCTATCGATCTAGCTTGCTATCTATCTATCTATCTATCTATCTATCTATCTGTCTGTCTATCTATCTATCTGTCTGTCTATCTATCCATCTATCTATCTATCTATCTATCTATCTATCTATCTATCTATCTATCCATCTATCTATCTATCTATCTATCTATCTATCTATCTATCTATCTATCAATCTATCTATCTGTCATCTATCTATCTATCTGTCTGTCTGTCTATCCATCTATCTATCTATCTATCTATCTATCTATCTATCTATCTATCTGTCTGTCTGTCTATCCATCTATCTATCTATCTATCTATCTGTCTGTGTGTCTGTCTATCAATCTGTCTGTCTGTCTGTCTATCTATCTATCTATCTATCTATCTGTCTGTCTGTCTGTCTGTCTATCTATCTGTCTGTCTATCTATCTATCTGTCTGTCTGTGTGTCTATCTGTCTGTCTATCTATCTATCTGTCTGTCTATCTATCTATCTATCTATCTATCTATCTGTCTGTGTGTCTATCTGTTTGTCTGTCTATCAATCTGTCTGTCTGTCTGTCTCTCTATCTCACTACCCGTGCCATTATTCTAGTTGTAGAGCTATATAGTGTCTGACATAACGGAAGGATTTGGAAATTGAAATGATTAAGAAATGACCACCTGTGGGTACACTTCAGAAGAATAGGTAGCAAAACAGAAACCTGAATTAAACAGAAAATAAATCACTCAGAATGTAGGGCAGTGGAAACTTCACAACACAACTGACAGGCTGACAGACGGCTCGGCTGTTTACTGACAGAAAAACAATGACATTTGCAGCCCTTTAATGCTTCAAACCTTATTAAACATGAAATAATATGATAGCGCCTGTCAGATCAGATCCCAGAGAGGGTGATGCTTTGGGGTGGGGGGCAAGGGATTAACTTGAGCTTGAAATGTAGTGTGTAGCAGGAAGTATCCAGCTCCACGTGTCGGTTAATTAGACGTTTTCAATCTTTCTTCAAGTCTGTGAGGAGCAGAATTGAAATGAGAATGAGATATTTTGGATAGAGGGAGAGGGTAGCTGGGTTGCCCAAAAGGTAGATCCCCAGATGTTGTAGAACTACAACTCCCATGATGCATTGCATGTCTTTGGAATACCTTTAGAATGGGAAAGCATCACGGAAGCTGTGGTTTTAAAACATCTGGGGATCTAACTTTTGGGCACCCCTGCTATATAGACAGTTAGACCTCACCTTTCACACACAGTAAATCTCATCCACTTAAAGAGGCAGGCAAGGCACCATAACCACTACAACTCACTGGTATGAGATGTTACCAGGTGTCATCCCACAAAAAGTAGTCAAACTGATTTCAAACAGTCTAACACTTACCTTGGACACCAAGGTGCCTCTGGACCTGACTCCTCTTTGGATATTCTACTTCCTCATCAGTTTTACTGATGCTCAGACAGAATCCATTGGCTGAGCAAAGAGCTGACTTTCTAAGCAAATTAATGGTGTAACATTGATATTCTATCACACAAGGGTTACTTATGCTTCATATACGCGAAGCAGTGAGTACAGAAATAATTAGAGCCAGGACACTCTTGGCACCATAACCACTACAGCGAGCTAGAGCCTAGAGTGTCCACTTAACAACCCGATAAAGAATCCTCCCAGGGACAAAATGCAAACCACAGAATAAAATGTGCAAACTAAACTTCCAAGTAATTGGGGTCCTAATACCAGGTTAAAGGTAAATATACCCACGTGTATTAGACAGCACAATCTAAGACTGTTCTCTTGTGTAGTAGTTGATGGAGTGCTACTCTGAATATGCGTATATCATAATTATTGGGGTAAAACTATCAGAATTATACACATAGGCGTGCGCATGGGGTGTGCCGGGTGTGCCTGGGCACACCCTAATCCCTGCGGCACGCCTATGGAGTGAGACCGGCAGGGGAGATCTCAGGATCTCCCCTGTCGGCTCATGCAGAGCTGGCGCTATCCGAGCACGGCTCTGCTCTCAGCCTCCCTCCCCACTGCAGCATGGAGGGAGGCAGGACAGGACCCGGGGAGCTCAACCAGCAGCTCCGTCGGGTTCCTCTCACAAGTTCTGAGCATTGCCACAGGGGCTAGAGTTCACTCTCCACTGGACCTCCAGGGAAAGCAGCAGGAACAAGAATCCCCCCTCCCTACATAAGGTAAGAAGGGAGGGGTTATATTAAGTAATGTACCCCCACCTTCACCCCCACAGCACCCACACACATACACATCACCCTCACAGCACAGAAACAGCACTCTCACACACACACACAGCACCCTCACACACACACACAGCACCCTCACACACACACACACACACACACAGCACCTTTACACACACACACACAGCACCTTTACACACACACACGGCACCTTTACACAGAGCACCTTTACACACACACACAGCAAATTTACACACAACACCCTCAAACCACCCTCATGCAGCACACACACAGCAGTGTATATATATATATATATATATATATATATATACACACACACACACACACACACACACAAACATATATACACGGTGTGTGTTTGTGCTTTAGGGTGCACACCCTAATGCAATAGACTGCGCACGCCTATGATTATACATAAATCAATGAGTGTGCATCCATCTAATAGGCACTATGTATCAAACAATAAACAAATAAAGGATACAAAGTAGCACGTTACTTGAGACAATTAATCTCGGTGTATAAATTAGTTTAGGAGCAACATGATTGGTGTACTCTGGCACGGAAGTTGGCAAAGCATAATGCAGCCATTTGGCCGGCCTAATTCTCTATATATGTCATCCGAGAGACCCATATGCTGTAGAAATAGCGCAGTACATAACTGCTCCAACTAAAGTATGTGCTCAGACCTCAGGACTGCAGTTCTGAATCCTAATGAGGTCAGCGTAGCCTTTTATTATTCCAAGGCCATTCAAGGTCATTAAAGGGAGCATCATTAAGTTGAACAATAGTAAACACTTCTCGAGAGAAGATTATTAATATTGTTAAGTTGCTTTAAATTTCCTACTTGTGTTATCCGTATGCCCAGTCCCCCACTTTATTTATTGCTCCAGTTGACACTGTGATGATCAGAAACGTTTTTAAACAAATTTCAATCTGTTCACTTTTTTCCAGTGGGAAATTAGGAGTTTCTAACAATGGGCATTGCAGGTGGAACGAAGGGTGACAGCTTGCATTTAAAACAAAACATATAAAAAAAGACAAAGTTCATCTATAACACGTGTTTAACTTTTTTCCATCTTGATTCAGAACCACGAGAGAGCTAAATCTGTGTGGATCCCAACATTTAATTGCCATTTTATCAGAGAAACATATTTGTTATATATATATATATGTATCAGACAAGTAGAAATATTATTACAAATTCTGGGTAGTGACAGCCCCCCTTTCATTTATTATGAATTGTATATTGGTTATGTAGTGCTATATTTTAAGAGAAGTTGTATCTGTCTGGGTGTCAGGATTACTAGTTGATCCAGCACGCAGAACTGTATCACACCTAGGACTAAATGGTAACGTCTTACCGGGCCTTAGAATGGCCGGACTTAACGTACCAGAGAATAGTCAGAATACTTGCCGTGGTCGTGGACACAGAATGAGACACAACGATAAGGGAAAGCCAAAAGTGAAGGATGCCAGAATACAGGGAAGTCAAAACGAAGCCAAAGTCAATAACCAGAAATAAAAGCTCAGGAATAGTGATGTCCCGAACGGTTCGCCGAACGGTTCGCCACGGACGCGAACATATGCGCTGTTCGGTCGGCCCCCTATTCGTCATCATTGAGTAAACTTTGACCCTGTACCTCACAGTCAGAAGACACATTCCAGCCAATCAGCAGCAGACCCTCCCTCCCAGATCCTCCCACCTCCTGGACAGCATCCATTTTACATTCATTGTGAAGCTGCATTCTTAGTGAGCTGTCCAGGAGGTGGGAGAGTCTGGGAGGGAGGGTCTGCTGCTTATTGGCTGGAATGTGTCTGCTGACTGTGAGGTACAGGGTCAAAGTTTACTCAGTGATGACGAATAGAGGGCCGACCTAACAGCGCATATGTTCGGCGAACCGTTCGGGACATCACTACTCAGGAACACACTCTCAGGGAAACCACGACAGGGCAATGAGGGAAGGCAAGAAAGGAGTTTAAATTAATCTCCTTTAAATCCGATTGGCCGTATCCAGCTTATGACCGCCAGAACGTGCGTGCGCGTCCTTTGCGTGACGTCACACGCATGTTATCATCAATACCATGGGCGGACGTGGGGCTATAAATTGGTATTGATCCGCAGCGGCCGGCGTCTTTCAGCATGCAGCAGGAGCCAGATACACCGGCACAGGGCCGCTGACCTGCATCACCACCAATGCCAGGAAGGTAAGTTATTCTCACGGACACCACAAGGTGAGGATGAACATGTGACACTGGGAGACAAAGGGTTAATCAAACAGAAACATTTAAAAAATGATCATTGGTTAATAAACAATGGTTTAACTATATAGCTATATAGAATCCATTTGAATCCACTTCTGGATTGACTGCAAATTGAAACTCATTTCTGTTCATTTTTGAGTCACTTTGTATTCAGGAAGACAGTATATGAAGTGAATTTTCTTTATTTTACAAAAAATTTTCCACGTTACCCCCAGAATTTCCAGTTGAATGAATAATCCTTAAAGAATTTAAGCAAAAACTACAGAGATGTAAAAATACACCTAACAAGGTATTAATCTAAATCTTGCAGTTCAAATGTCAATTTTCCACCTTTGACTGTGAATAATGTGCTGAATATAAGCATCTCCCTATGCAGCAATCAGTGTTAATCCTATAATCCTACTCTGTATAGCAAACTATATGCTATATTTTTCCCCAGTACTTCCTCCTATTTTCTCTCCCTCTCCACCTTTTCCAACTACTTCTTTTCGTCCTGGGTCAAATTTGCACTTTCTTCTAGTCTAGTGTATCAGAGTGAGCATTGGCATCAGTTTTAAAATTCTTACTGAGATTTGTTAGCTGGCTATATACAGGTAGTAAAGCATTTATCATGGTTCTTAAGCCCCGCGTTAGAACCCCAGGGATGAACACTTGGAACAGCCTGATGAAGGGGCTTTGCTAAATTAATTTTGTTATACGTTACATAGAAACATAGAAACATAGAATGTGACGGCAGATAAGAACCATTCGGCCCATCTAGTCTGCCCAATTTTCTAAATACTTTCATTAGTACCTGGCCTTATCTTATAGTTAGGATAGCCTTATGCCTATCCCACGCATGCTTAAACTCCTTCACTGTGTTAAGCTCTACCACTTCAGCTGGAAGGCTATTCCATGCATCCACTACCCTCTCAGTTAAGTAATACTTCCTGATATTATTTTTAAACCTTTGTCCCTCTAATTTAAGACTATGTCCTCTTGTTGTGGTAGTTTTTCTTCAGTTGAAGAATGGATCACTAGAAATAGTTTTCTAATCAAAAAGGGATCTCCCTGTTGATAAACATGTAATTATGGTTGCAGTAAAAAAAGGGAAGTCTAGGCACCATAATTACTACTGCCTGCTACAGTGGTTATGGTGTTAGGAGTCCATTAGCTCCATCCCATGTTAATGTCAAAATGTTTTTGAATGGTTTGACACGTACCTGCATCTTCTGGTTGCCTCTAGAATTTTTCTTGTTTTTTATAGGTTGCTAAAGCAGAAGTTCCCATTGAGCCTTCGCAACATCAATTTTGAATTTTGAGTTCCCTGAAACACCTTAATTTGCTGAAACAAAAAACATGTTCACTTTTATAAATGAATCTCCTAACATTCCCCTGGCTGTCAATCACACTACTGTCCCTGTTACTTCCTGGTTTGGTTAGCTCAGTGGAGCTAAACTCAGGAGGCAGCAATTGTCCAGAGCACCTGCCTTGCCAAGACTTCTCATTGAGCTGCATTGGAAGTCTGTGATTGGACAGTCACAGAAAGTCTGGGCGGGGGAAGAAGGGGAGGGCTTGCAAAGCCTGCAGACAAGAAATCTGCAGCTTTTGCATGCTGTTCTTAGATATAACCACAATTAAATAATGCATAATTACATGTTCATATTCCTCTTGTGTAGTTCCTGTGGGAGTAAATGGTATATGTGTTTTTTTTTTGCATCATTGCTAGTAGGGTTGGATATCAAATTGCTTGGATATTTAATTATTGCCTTTTTACCCCATGACTCGGCTAAATCTGTAGAACTGTTCTGATACCAAATATGTACATATCCTTGTGCCTTGTACATGAGAATGTAATTAACTGTTTTTGTGTCTTTTGCAGAGGCAAAGTCTATAGCAACTTCTCTGTTTGTTAATTTCCATTGTAGTCAATGCTTGTCTTTATTTCTTTTTATTGTCATTCATCGAACCAGGAACATGCTGTGTTCTTGTGTTTGTTTGCTGGAGTTCTGCAGACATTAATAATAACACAGGAAGCAAATACCACAACATATTCTATTACTTGTGAATAATAGTAAATCCAGCACAAAGAAAGGCTTATCCACGTCAGGGCACATGTACGTACCCGAATTAATTTACGTTACACCTCTCCAAATATCCAAATGCTATCTCACAACATCCGCAGAGGATTCTTTACCTGATGTAGAATGTTGTGATCGACATAAAAGTAAATTTGTGATGTAACTGGAAACCTACACAATGATTGAAATCTAGGAATATTCAGTACGTACGCTGTTATAAAATGTACAAATTTAAAGGGAATGTTTAGCATATAAAGTCAGGGCTATTTATTAAAGGTAAATCGCATAAAGACATTTCTATAGCTTCTACACCTTTATAAAAATCCCTAAAACCTCACTTTATTAGGAACATTAGTGACTAATAACCCATTATGTCTTCTCCTCCCAACAGTACGTCTTTCTCACATCTCTTAGTTTGCCCTCCTAGTGCTAGCACTGTTTTAACCTTCATTCTTATGCTACAGTTACTATACATCTCATTTTATGCAAGTTTTGTATGTAGTTAGATGTAGAGTGTACACTCATCTCGTTTCCTTTCTAGATTTTCCGTGTAACTGAACCCTGCTAACTGCAGGGAATTGACTCTGTTTATGGGAGATCCCTCAGTCTCGCGGGATCCAACCTAGACCTCAATGTTTTAGTCTTGCGCTTGAAGCACAAACAGCTTAAGAGGATCCATTGGAGGAAGATGGCGGGACATGCGAGAGACAGGTTCACGTAAGTAAAACTCATCTTTCACTGTACCTCCGGCCACTAGACTGACAAAGTCGATGTCAATTTTAGGGTCTTTACAAATTCTGCAAAGTCCCCAGACAGTGACAGAGCTGCATTAAAGGGACACTATAGTCACCAAAACAACTTTAGCTTTATGAAGCAGCTTTGGTGCATAGATCATGCTTCTAAAGTTCCACTGCTCAAATTCTCTGCCTTTTAGGAGTTAAATCACTTTTGTTTCTGTTTATGCAGCCTGAGCCACACCTCCCTTGCTGTGACTGATACAGCCTTTTTATGTCCTGCTCTGTACATTAAACTTCAATGATACACAGGAGGCTCCTGCAGGGTCTATCAAACTATTAACAGAACAGGAGATAAGAAATTCTACATTAAACAGAATTTGTGAGAAAGGAAGTGTAAACATTAGATGGGTTTTTACAGGAAGTGTTTATGAACGCTGTATAAGTCAGTGCAGGGAGGTGTGACTAGGACTGCATAAACAAAGTGATTTAACTCCTAAATAGCAGAGAATTGAGCAGTGAGACTGCAGGAGCATGATATATACCCCAAAACTGCTTCATTAAGCTAAAGTTGTTTGGGTGACAATAGTGTCCACTTAACAAAACACTAGCCCTAAACTCAATAATCCTAGACAGTCCTTGTACTACAACTTCAACCCCTCTCAAGCTCATCTTTTTAGATGATTTTAGCAGTGCAATGTCCAGTTAAGAAATTAATTATACCTTTTCTGTCTTATTTTGGGGTTATTAGACATCCACTCCTGGAAAAAGCAGGACTAGAAAGAGTAATGCCAGCATGGAAACCCACAGAAGTCCAGGCACTCCTCGCTGATGACCAGAAGGCAGAAACAGCTCTTCCATTGTCCAGCAATATCCTCCACGTCTGAGAAGATACCCTGTGTCAGGTGTGACAAGCACGTGCAGGATCCAGAGAGAAGTTTCTGGCTATCCGGTTAGAGCCGTCCAGAAAGTCCTGAGTTCTAGTGGCATTTGTCCTTGTTGTGTTCATCTTTCAGAAATAAAAGTCCAATATAGCACAGTAGCATTTATTAATCAGCTATCCAACACGCCCTAGGTTAGCTGCACATGTTTAATATTTTTTTTATTAATAAAGCAAAAATCTGCCCGATTATAAAGTAAGCAACGCAGTTTTTTTAATGGCTATTGATGGCATTGGAAATGTAAAGGTTCAAGCGTATTGGGGAGTTGAATGCTGATTACATTTTTCCCAGTAATTTTTAATACTGACGCTTTCAGCGACAGCTTGAAGAGTTTTGAGTCAAACCAAACATGGTTTAACCCCTTTAGGTAAGCCAGCACCCAGGACCTCCTCGCACCATAACAAGTTAATTGCAATAAAGTTGTTATGGTTCTCAGAGTCGTCCTTCAAGTGCTGTCCATACAAAATGCATTCTTTGTGTAAATTGAGAATCGTTTTTGTCATGTTGAGGAGGTATGTTCCATGCTGTTTATTGCTGATGTGTTTATTTTTTATTATTTTTATTTTTTTGTTAATAAAAGTTATGTTTTAAACAAATGTGTTTGGAGCCGTGTTCGTCTATATTGTTGATCTACTTACAGTGATCCTTGTTAGCGAGCTTTTTCTTTTTCACGTGTTCTCTGTTTGGATTTAGCCATTCCTGGATGCTGGGCTCCAACGTGCACTAACCGGCGAGTGTTTGATTAAAACTTTATGTCACTTACCTACAATCTCATCTGCAGATGCAATGAGTTGTAGTGGTTATGGTGCATACACTTCCCCTTT